CCTGGGCCCCAGTAGGCCGCGATCGGCGGTTTGAGAAAGTGAAGGCCAGAGTCTCCACGGAGGGTCAGGGGGCAGGAGCCCCGGCCGGCCTGACCCAGCTCGCGGGGGGCCTGGGGCTCGGGGCTGTGGCCACCTCAGCAGGCCTCTGGCTCCGGACAGCAGAGCCCAGTCAGAATGGAGCAGCTCGTGTCCAGGCCCAGCGGACTCAGCTGAGGAAGCAGCGACTCCCCGAAAACGGCCGCATCACCCTCCGCATAGCACAGCCGTGGGGGGGCGCGGGCCCGGGGCATGTCCTGCCCCACTGGCCCCTGGTCCCGAGGCAGTGGCCAGGCCTGCCCCAGCCCCTGGGGGAGACCGGTGGCTGGCTGCCGCCTTGCAGGCAGCTGCCCTCATTAGCCGCTGCCTAGGCCCTGGGGACCCTAATGGCAGCGGATGACGGATGGGCAGCTGCGCCGTGTCCAGACCCTGCTGCCCGTGGCCTCTGCCACATCGGCCCTGCCAGCTCCTCAGCCCCCGCGGCCCCCACAGCCGTACCCCGCTGCCCCTGAGTCTCCCCCCCCACAGCCCCGCACCTTCCTGCGCCCCCAGACCTGGCCTCTTCCCCGCCGCGGGGGGAAATGTGCTCCGCTCCTCGGCGGCACGGGCCTGCAGCCGCGGGCGGGCGCTCGGCGACCGAGGAGGCCGGGCAGCTGACCACTCTCCCGCACAGTCACCGCGGGGTTCACGGGATTCCCGAGCACAACCCAGCCGGCCGGGTCGACACCCCCAGGGGACGGTGCTGGACGGCTGTCAGCTGCTTCAGGCCTGGGCGCTGGGCCTCACTGCCCAGGTCGCGCCCCAGGAGTGGCTGGGCACCGCCCGCCCAGCCCCCCAGGTGCCCGTGTCACCCGCCCGCACAGCAGGCCCAAGTGCAGGGGCTGCCCATGCCAACGCCCCGACGCCCACCGAGCCCCGCCTCACGGCCCGAATGCGCCCAACTCCCGGGTGCCCTCGGCAAAGGACCTGCCCTGTCCCTGGGCCCCGCTGCGCCCCGGACCTAGGCCCGC